GTACACGTGATCCAGTTCGATGTGCCTGTTTATTGAGTTGGTTGAAGAGTGTCAGGCCTCGAGAAATTCTCTGGCGTACTTTTACCGAGCTTGGTCGATAGTTTTCACTGGAGCGAAGTCAAACTGATGTTCTTCTTGATCCTCGTGGAGGGGAATCAACGATAGTGGGTCATGTCGCCCGACTACCGCTAGGTATTCACGAATCCTTGTGGACAGTTTTCTCCGTTTGTCTGATAATAGTGTTTTGAGCAGTTTTTGCAATTTATTTTGTAGATAACACTGCTCTAGTCCTTCTCCATTCTTCTCTCCTTTGGTTTTGACAGAAGTCTCCTTAAACAGGCGGTTGGTCTGTGGGCGACTTAGATTCCATAGAATCTGAGCAGTTTTATTGTCCTTTGCGAAACGTCCTTGATGTACGGCAGGGTCTTTCTTATTCCCGGTTCTCTGTCTGTTGTTCGTTTCCGTTCTTTGAGTCAGAGTTATCTTAATGAAGTTGCGGGTGTAGTCATTTCGAGCAAATACTCTGAGGAGGTATCTTTCTTCTTTCTTCTTGAGTATATCGGTTCTGCAGTGCGTTTGGATTCTTCCGAACAAGGTTCTAACATAGCATCTCTTGTGACTGTTTGGATGATTACTTTTGAAGTTTAAGATTTGATCCGTATGCGTTGCTTTGCGGTAGACCGTTGTATCCAGTTTTCCTGATGGCGTTCTGATGATCAAAATGTCCAAAAAGGCCAGTTGTTTACCCTTCTCCGTCGCCATTGTGAACTTGATGCCATTGAATGTGTTATTGATGATGTTGTGTGTTCTTTCCAGTTCCGACTTCTTCAAGATGACGAATGTGTCATCAAAGTATCGGAGTTTTGGTATGATTCTTGGTAGTACCTCCTTCTTCAACTTCTGCATTAGGGCTTCGGCTACAATTGAAAAAACACGACAAAAATGTATTCGGTTATATTTTTCCAAGCCATTTCCCCGTTATATCCCACCGGAATACTTCATAAAAAGAATTCTCGTATGTGTGGAAAATATTCGTTTATGAGTTTGAATGGATCACATAAAAACAGATCGATGGTGTAGCGGTGGACAATCCATTGGGACCAGTTTTGTCAGACGTGAGTGAGGGAACGAAAAACTCGTGATAATATTTCAAAACGCAACCTGTTAAAATATTATGTAGATGATATTTTCTTTTCTTTTAAGAAACTAAAATATGCTGATAAGTATTTTTTGTGTTTCGAACAGAAGACGGGGCGAACCCCATGGTAACGAAGACCTGCTGCTCCGTCATGGAAACCGGTAACCTAAGTCCCGGGACTTGGAGTGATGGACCACATAAGGCCCTGACAGGTTAGGTGTGCTATTGAACCGGACGACAGCAAAGCTGTCTACCACCAAAGTCGAGTGGCGGGGCGGGGCCTTTGAAATTGGTCATGTTATTTTTTGTTATCGCTAGAGTTTTGGTTTTTTCATCACACATTACCTCTGGATATACTTTGTATCAATTACGGTGACCTCAATGATAACCTACAACGCGCTCAGTTTAATTTCCGTACGACTATCCGTGGTATATATCAACGAACCGTCCTTACGTGCTTTTTCTCATTTTGTGAGAAATAAGGGTAAAAGGATCACCAGAAATTCACATGGCAAACGGAAAAAAACATGCCGCGGGCTGGAAAGTTGCACTTGAGCACCGAAACCTGAACAGCGTTGGTTGTCCGATTATTCTGTCAACGAATGTCTGCTCAATTCTTTCTAACCTATCGGACATCGGTCTTCTGATTCACTACGGTAAGTGCTCCAAAAGTTGTGGACTACTTTTCCAAGCATCCGTCGAGGACAAATTGGTTCAGATCGAAGGATTCCAATTATTTCGAGCAGATAGACCCCCAGGAAGGAAAACTACAGGTGTAAGCGTCTTCACTTATGTGCGCCGGTCGTGGTGTAACTCCACCAAATGCTACTACTCACTGCACACAAAACATTTCTTGAATTTCTGTAGAATGTAAATTACGATTTCTTCTGCGTCACTCTTCGATCACCTTCTCAAACCTATACATCACTCGACTGTATTCCTAGTGAGTTGTCTACCTTCCTGGATGTATTCTATCCAATCACGTTGGATAAATCTGTCACATCTGTATCCATCGTTGCTGGCGCTTTCAACAGCTTCTACACACTTATGTCTCTTCAGAACATTGTTACTTTTTCCACTCGAAATGATGCCTCCTTGGACCACTTTTCCGTTAACGCACCACCTTTTTCCATGCCTTCAAATGTGCACCAGTAGGCAATTCCGATCACTGTCTGACTTAAAACTACTCCGATCCTGATATTTCAGGATAAATTACCTCAACTGTTGTTATGACGTGTGCTGCTTTCAAGAAGGGATTCATCTACAGTTCAACCGACTCATCTCCGATGGACTGAAATGGTTACGAAGACTGAAAGAAAGGGCGTTTTGCTCAAGAGATAAACTGACCATCAAATCTGTCAACTTTCACATCAAAAGCGAGATGGCCCATCTCAATCAATTGTATGCTGATATTGTGATAAAAGACAAATCCTGCCGTCAGCTTTGGAACGGACTGAAGTTGCTCTGTGGTCATTCAACTTTACCTACTACAGTCTCAAGTGACATCGATGAGCTCAACAAATCATTTGCTTAAGTGAAAAACGTTGTGCAAGCGTTACCGAGTCCAAACACAGCGTCACTTGATTTTTACTCTTCTGTGTCTGTCACAATAGAGAAAGTTTTAAAGGAGTTAAAAGCTGTCAATGGAAATAAATCCGCTGGTCGTGATGGGTTATCCCCAGTGATCCTTAAATCATGTGCAAATCACCTCGCACAAACCGTTCCATTTATCTTTGTCGTGATTCCAATCAGTTTGCTTATTGTAAGCATCGTTCAACTTTATATGCAGTTGATCGTTTCATACACTCTATTTTATCCACTAGAGACCACAAACAAAATTGTTCACGTTTGTTTCTTGGGCTACACAAACGCGTTTAACTCTGTCGACAGAAACATTCTATTGACAATGTTACGGAGACATAATCTCCCGTCACATTTTTTTGAATTGGATGCACGACTATTTTACCGACCAACGCCAATTCACTTGTCTCAATGGTATTAGGTTTTTTACTGTTACTGTAAACCGAGGTGTAATGCAGGGAGCAGTTTTATCCCCTTTTCTGTTCTCCATTTATATCCAAAATTTGCCAGTCAAACCAAATGTTTACACTTTTGAATACGCGGATGACATGGTAGTTGGTGATGCATCTCAAAACAACAACCCTTCAACGTACTTCTTTCAAGCAGCTACAAGTTCCATTTCTGAATGGTTCGATGGTGTTAACCTTTCTTTAAACCCCAATAAATGCATTGAAGTTTTGTTTTCCAGTGACCGTAAGCCATCGACTCTTTCTGGATCATCTGCTCCCAATATCTTGATCAATAACTTATAAGTTGAGAGGTCACAACACTTCAAATATCTTGGATGTTTCGCGTCTGGTGACCTCAAATGGTCCTATCATGTAGAAAGTTGACCTTTTATATTTCACGCCTTCGGCATCTGAGGGTGCCATTGTACATTATCTCCAAATTTATTTTCTCGTGTTTTTATACCATTCGACCTACTGCTCTCTTGTCATCTTTTCCGGTCTACCGTCTAAGGATTTCATGTTAATTAGACGCTCTCTGAAAAGCACCTCCGAATAAGGAGCTGTAGCTTATGAGGAGCTGGTTGATTCCATTGTCAACCAACATTTGAATGTATGTGACCGTTTGTGTGACTCCATCTTGTCCGATGCATCACATCCCTTACACAGAGCTCTATCTAGCTCCATTTCAACTTCTGTAACCCGCAATAAATTTAAACCTTTATATACTCGTACCACTGCTTTTCACAACTCCGTTTGTATCTTACCTTTCACGTTTGTTGGGTTCTGGGGAGCGAATATTAAACGAACTTATACAGACAGTCTAATGTAAATTTCCACGTTGACACTTTCCTTACTTTTTTTGTGCGTTCTCGGTGTCCGATTCATCATCATCTCAGTAACTATTTGTCATATCTTAAAGCTAATTTGTGATAGCTTGCAATGCCAAAGCAAAAGCGATAACATTCTTTTCATTGAAAATTCTGTCCACATTGGATGAATAAAGTGCACTTTTGAATTGACTTGACTTGATTAAACCACTGCAGTACCACCACCCTTTGTGATTCAATTACTGACCAATTAGAGCAC